GTGGACTCTCTCTTGACTCTCTGTGGTCTCTCTCTGGACTCTCTGTGGTCTCTCTCTGGACTCTCTGTGGTCTCTCTCTTGACTCTCTGTGGTCTCTCTCTGGACTCTCTGTGGTCTCTCTCTGGTCTCTCTCTGGTACCTCTCTGTGGTCTCTCTCTGGACTCTCTGTGGTCTCTCTCTGGACTCTCTCTGGTCTCTCTCTGGTACCTCTCTGTGGTCTCTCTCTGGACTCTCTGTGGACTCTCTCTTGACTCTCTGTGGTCTCTCTCTGGACTCTCTGTGGTCTCTCTCTGGACTCTCTGTGGTCTCTCTCTTGACTCTCTGTGGTCTCTCTCTGGACTCTCTGTGGTCTCTCTCTGGTACCTCTCTGGTAGTATGGGTCGTTCCGCGTCTGCGCTTTGGGGCGTGAGCCGAGAAATCTCTGAAGTTTTTATCGGAGCGCGGGCCGAAGCCTGAGTTGTTTTAGATGAGTGACGTCACTAATGACGTTTGAAGCCTCGGGAGCACAGGAAATGGAGCGATTCATGAAGTACTGCAGAAGATCCACTCAAACTTTGTGTGTTTATCTTGGTTAATTTAGTCAGTGATGGAGAGGATTGTAGTATCAGCTGGTTGGCTCAATAGAGATATCTCACGTGACGTCACGATGCCTCGAACTCGCGGGGCATCCGCCATACTGGAGGACAAGCAAACGCTGTATGATAGTGGCGTGCACCCGGGACCGCATAAACATGTTCAACATTTTTGCCGTTTTTGGCTGCAGCAAAAGGAGAGACAGGGAAAATAAGTTGTGTTACCGACTGCCAGCCGTCCTTACTTCACACGGCTCAAAAACAGAAGACATCTCAAAGAAACGAGAGAGAAATGGCACAACCATACGCAACAACAAAAAACTAATAGCCCCCAGAGCGCCCGAATATGGATCATTTCATTTCTGCTAAGTGAAATCAATTTGATGGCGGATTTAGTGTTATTCCGAAACAAACAGAAGTTTAAGGATAAAACATATCTGTCTGACTGCAACGTGGGGTTGCTCCATAGACTGTAGCTTAGCTTGTAGCATAGCTGTTATATATTTGGTCTCACACAGGACCTCACCCGGTTCACAGGGTATCTGACTTACCGAAGGCCAGCAGACATGTGAACGACTGAGCCGTGCTCGAGGGTGTCCCGTACTAGTATTTATTAATAAAATATACGGCTCCTCACAGTAGACGCAGAAAGCTCCATTGATTTGAATGTAATCTCATTATTTCCACTGCAGTGTAGCCACACATAGATCAATGGTGTAACAATAAACACATTAAATGTTAATCGGAGAATACATTATACATATACATTCTTAATACACGTGCACAGAGGTTTTCAGAATTTTCTGTTCACGTTTTCATGAAAAAACACTGTTTTAATGCGACAATATGCGACCGCGGTAAACCTGGATGTAACGAATACATTTTAGGATGCATTTTCAGAGGATCTGATTCATGAATTTAGGTTGAGTATATATTTGGGTCACTAACTGCAGAAGTTTCAAATTCTCTGTTCAGTTTTCATGTAGTTCGAGAGAGTTCTAGTTTTGAACGTCCAGTTATAGATAGCTAGCAGGGCTGTTACTCGCCGAGGTTGTCCTCCAGTATGGCTGCCGTGGCTGCTAGTCACGTGACCGTAGGATCCCTCTATAGATAGGGAAGCAGTGCTGGTACCTGGGGGACCGGGGTTCGAATCTCACCAGGACCATGTTGATGTAAATACACGTGAAAGAATTTTGTCAGAACATTTTTGGTTTTAAACAACTGATGGGGTCACAATCCCAATTGATATCCCCACTTGTCTCACGTACTTTTAAAAGCACTTACACTTTCAACATGTTTTTTGTCCTATTGGATTTATAACATTGATTTTGACTTGACAAGCTTTAATCATTCATCATTAAATATGTATATAAATATATATCTACATGTGTGTGTGTGTGTGTGTGTGTGTGTGTGTGTGTTTGTGTGTGTGTATTAGAGCAGACAACTGTACCAGTTACCAGTACATTATAATTTTATTGTCATTTAAAATATATTCATTTTCACTACTGATATTGATCATAATGAAACAGATGAATTAATGGGTCATACACAATCAAATTGCATTTGTATTTCTGTTACCAGTATTAATTCCTATGCAGCAAGAGCCTCACAAACAGTTCAATTGTCAATACAGATTTTGACCAACAGGAGGTTTGTGAGCATATGAACCATCAAGAAATGAACCTTTTCTCGAACCAATGGATGAAAAGGTTCAACACTTCATGAAGCTTCATCAACCCATCACTACTCTCTGGTCTCTCTCTGGTCTGTCACTGGTCCCTCTGTCTGATCTCTCTGGTCCCTCTGTCTGATCTCTCTGGTCCCTCTGTCTGATCTCTCTGGTCCCTCTCTCGGATGTCTCTCTCTGGTCGCTCTCTGGTCCCTCTGTCTCCAGTCTCTCTCCAGTCTCTATCTAGTCTCTGCTCTCTGGTCTCTCTCTGGTCTCTCTCTCTTGTCTCTGGTCTCTCTCTGGTCTCTCTCTCTTGTCTCTGGTCTCTCTCTGCTCTCTCTCTTGTCTCTCTCTTGTCTCTCTCCAGTCTCTGGTCTCTCTCTGGTCTCTCTCTGCTCTCTCTCTTGTCTCTCTCCAGTCTCTGGTCTCTCTCTGGTCTCTCTCTGCTCTCTCTCTTGTCTCTCTCCAGTCTCTGGTCTCTCTCTGGTCTCTCTCTGCTCTCTCTCTTGTCTCTCTCCAGTCTCTGGTCTCTCTCTGGTCTCTCTCTGCTCTCTCTCTAGTTCTACTCTGTCTCTGGTCCATCTCTGCAATCCTCTCCAATGGTAAATCTCTCCTTTTTTCTTGGCAAAAATCCTCCAGTTCTGGGACATTCCTGGGCTGCCTTGTATGAACTCTACTTGACAGATCCCCTCAGAACCAGAACACACACATTTGACGGAAACTGTCTTCACACAAACACAAACCATGAGTGAGAAGCGTGTCTGTGTCTGCTTCTGAGCTTTAAAAGGCGCGTCTCTCCTCTCTCAGCAGGAGGCGGGACCAGTGGTGTCTCTGCCAGCGGCTGATTGGACAGTGGATGGAGGATGCTGTGAGCTGATTGGCTGAGGCTGCAGCTGTCCTCTCTCCTCTGCTTCTCACTTCTCTGGGATCACACAGGATGTAAGCGCTCGGACCGGGACCTCCAGGCCAAACGCAGCAGCAAAAGTAAGTTGAAGATCTTACACTTGTGCTTTTGTTCAACGGGAGAAAACATTGCAGGTTTTCAATAATAAAGAAGTGAGCATAAGTCTCCATCCCCCTGTTCTCAGTCATGTGTGTCGCCCTTTAACATCTATGACGGCGAGGAGACTTTTTTGGTAGTTATGAAGTTTATTTATTCTCTCGGGTCACTCTCTCTGGTCCCTCTGGTCTCGCTCTGGTCTCTATCTCTGGTCCCTCTCTCTGGTCTCTCTCTGGTCTCTCTCTGGTCTCTCTCTGGTCTCTTTCTGGTCTCTTTCTGGTCCCTCTCTGGTCTTTCTGGTCCCTCTCTGGTCTTTCTGGTGTCTCTCTCTGGTCCCTCTCTCTAGTCTCTCTCTGGTCCCTCTCTCTGGTCTCTCTCTCTGGTCTCTCTCTGGTCCCTCTGGTCTTTCTGATCCCTCTCTCTGGTCCCCTCTGGTCTCTCCCTGGTCTCTCTCTGGTCTCTCTCTGGTCTCTTCTGGTCTCTCTGGTCCCGCTCTCTGGGCTCTCTCTGGTCTCTCTCTGGTCTCTCTCTGGTCTCTCTGGTCCCTCTCTCTGGTCTCTCTGGTCCCGCTCTCTCTGGTCTCTCTGGTCTCTCTGGTCTCTCTCTGGTCTCTCTCTGGTCTCTCTGGTCTCTCTCCAGTCTCTCTGGTCTCTCTGGTCTCTCTGGTCTCTCTCAGTCTCTCTGGTCTCTCTGGTCTCTCTCCTGGTCTCTCCTGGTCTCTCTGGTCTCTCTGGTCTCTCTCTGGTCTCTCTCTGGTCTCTCTGGTCTCTCTGGTCTCTCTGGTCTCTCTGGTCTCTCTGGTCTCTCTGGTCTCTCTCTGGTCTCTCTCTGTCTCTCTCTGGTCTCTCTCTGGTCCCTCTCTGGTCTCTCTCTCTGGTCCCTCTCTGGTCTCTCTCTGGTCTCTCTCTGGTCTCTCTCTGGTCTCTCTCTGGTCCCTCTCTGGTCTCTCTCTCTGGTCCCTCTCTGGTCTCTCTCTGGTCTCTCTCTCTGGTCTCTCTCTGGTCTCTCTCTGGTCTCTCTCTCTGGTCTCTCTCTCTGGTCTCTCTCTGGTCTCTCTCTGGTCTCTCTCTGGTCTCTCTCTGGTCCCTCTCTGGTCTCTCTCTGGTCTCTCTCTCTGGTCTCTCTCTGGTCTCTCTCTCTGGTCTCTCTCTGGTCCCTCTCTGGTCTCTCTCTCTGGTCTCTCTCTCTGGTCTCTCTCTGGTCTCTCTCTCTGGTCTCTCTCTGGTCTCTCTCTGGTCTCTCTCTGGTCTCTCTCTGGTCTCTCTCTGGTCTCTCTCTGGTCTCTCTCTCTGGTCTCTCTCTGGTCCCTCTCTGGTCTCTCTCTGGTCTCTCTCTGGTCTCTCTCTGGTCCCTCTCTGGTCTCTCTCTGGTCTCTCTCTCTGGTCTCTCTCTGGTCTCTCTCTCTGGTCTCTCTCTGGTCCCTCTCTGGTCTCTCTCTCTGGTCTCTCTCTCTGGTCTCTCTCTGGTCTCTCTCTCTGGTCTCTCTCTGGTCTCTCTCTGGTCTCTCTCTGGTCTCTCTCTGGTCTCTCTCTGGTCTCTCTCTGGTCTCTCTCTCTGGTCTCTCTCTGGTCCCTCTCTGGTCTCTCTCTGGTCTCTCTCTCTGGTCTCTCTCTGGTCTCTCTCTGGTCTCTCTCTCTGGTCTCTCTCTGGTCTCTCTCTGGTCTCTCTCTGGTCCCTCTCCCTCAGAATGCCTCCTCTACAGTTCTGTGCTAACCTCAGCTGGTTGTTTACGGAGCTCCCTGGGATCAGCCAGCGGATGTACGCAGCAGCTGCAGCCGGGTTCAGAGCCGTTGAGGCGGCATGGCCGTATGAGGAGGAGCTGCAGGAGCTGCAGAGAGCCCGAGAGGCCACGGGACTGGAGCTGGTGCTTATCAACACGCCCCCTGGTGGGTACATGCAGTACTGCAGGCCCGTGTGCAGACCATAGACTGTATATGTTAATATGGGTTAGGGTTAGATTCAGACTAACCCTAACTCATACTAACCCTAACTCAGACTAACTCTAACTGAACACAAAACCGGACTAACCCTACTCGACTAACCTAACTCAGACTACCCTAACTCAGACTAACTCTAACTCAGACTATCTCTAACTCAGGCTAACTCAGACTTGTGTGTTTCAGGGAACCTCGGGGCCGGAGAGCTGGGACTGGGGGCGGCGCCCGGGAGACAGGAGGAGTTTAGGCGGGGGCTGGAGCAGGCTCTGGACTACGCCCTGGGGCTGGGCTGTAAGAGGTAGGACTAACACTGTAGAACAAACTCCTACTGTAGGACAAACTCCTACAGTAGGACTAACTCGTACTGTAGGACTAACACTGTAGGACAAACTCCTACAGTAGGACTAACTCGTACTGTAGGACTAACACCGTAGGACAAACTCGTACTGTAGGACTAACAGTAGGTTACCTCTGTCCCAGGATCCACCTGATGGCAGGGCGTGTCCCTCTGGGCTCAGAGCGAGAGGAGGTGGCCCCAGAGATGGAGCGGGTCTTCATCCACAACCTGCAGTATGCTGCAGACCTGCTGTCTGAGGTGTTACCATGGTTACTATGGTAACCCTGGTTACAGGTACCATGGTTACTCTGGTTACCATGGTTACTATGGTTAGGCCAAGAGTTATCATGGTTACCCTGGTTACTCAGGTTTCCCTGGTAACCAGGGAATAACCATGGTTATCATAGTTACAATGGTTACCGTGGTTACTCTGGTTACCATGGTTACTCTGTTTACCACGGTTACTATGGTTCGTTGCTCTGTGATACAGAAGGGACTGACAGGACTGATCGAGCCCATCAACACCAGGATAACTGACCCACGTTACTTCCTGGACTCTCCTCATCACGGTCTGTTTCACAAGCACGGTCTTTACTTTTCTGTCAATGACATAAACTCTGACCTCTGACCCCTGTCACATGTGACCGCAGCGGCGGCCATCTTGAAGAGAGTGGGGAAGCCCAACCTGAAGCTGCAGATGGTGAGTTTATTATTATTATTTCTTTATGACACTTTCATTTTAAACCATTTTCTTTTTGACAAAATAGAATAAACTTGTCTGAATGAAACCAGAGAAACTGAGATCCCAGTAATAAAGGGAGGGTACCTAACTTTTACTCTCTAAACATTGTTAGTGTTAAGGCCTGTGTACACTCGCGCGGCGCTGGTTATGTTTGCGGTTGTGTTGGACCTACGTAACCACAGTTGGACCTACCAGTTGGACCTACGTAACCACAGTTGGACCTACCAGTTGGACCTACCAGTTGGACCTACGTAACCACAGTTGGACCTACCAGTTGGACCTACCAGTTGGACCTACGTAACCACAGTTGGACCTACGTAACCACAGTTGGACCTACCAGTTGGACTTACGTAACCACAGTTGGACCTACCAGTTGGACTTACGTAACCACAGTTGGACCTACCAGTTGGACCTACGTAACCACAGTTGGACCTACGTAACCACAGTTGGACCTACCAGTTGGACTTACGTAACCACAGTTGGACCTACGTAACCACAGTTGGAACTACCAGTTGGACTTACGTAACCACAGTTGGATCTACGTAGCCACAGTTGGACCTACGTAACCACAGTTGGACCTACGTAACCACAGTTGGACCTACGTAACCACAGTTGGACCTACGTAACCACAGTTGGACCTACGTAGCCACAGTTGGACCTACGTAACCACAGTTGGACCTACGTAACCGCAGTTGGACCTACCAGTTGGACTTACGTAACCACAGTTGGGCCTACGTAACCACAGTTGGGCCTACGTAACCACAGTTGGACTTACGTAGCCACAGTTGGACCTACGTAGCCACGGTTGGACCTACCAGTTGGACCTACGTAACCACAGTTGGACCTACGTAGCCACAGTTGGACCTACGTAGCCACAGTTGGACCTACGTAGCCACAGTTGGACCTACGTAACCACAGTTGGACCTACGTAACCACAGTTGGACCTACCAGTTGGACCTACGTAACCGCAGTTGGACCTACCAGTTGGACCTACGTAACCACAGTTGGACCTACGTAACCACAGTTGGACCTACGTAACCACAGTTGGACCTACGTAACCATAGTTGGACCTACGTAACCACAGTTGGACCTACGTAACCACAGTTGGACCTACCAGTTGGACCTACGTAACCACAGTTGGACCTACCAGTTGGACTTACGTAACCACAGTTGGACCTAGCCCAGTTGGACCTACGTAACCACAGTTGGACCTACCAGTTGGACCTACGTAACCACAGTTGGACCTACCAGTTGGACTACGTAACCACAGCTGGACCTACCAGTTGGACCTACGTAACCACAGCTGGACCTACCAGTTGGACCCTACGTAACCACAGTTGGACCTACGTAACCACAGTTGGACCTACGTAGCCACAGTTGGACCTACGTAACCACAGTTGGACCTACGTAGCCACAGTTGGACCTACGTAACCACAGTTGGACCTACGTAACCACAGTTGGACCTACGTAACCACAGTTGGACCTACCAGTTGGACCTACGTAACCACAGTTGGACCTACGTAACCACAGTTGGACCTACGTAACCACAGTTGGACCTACGTAGCCACAGTTGGACCTACGTAACCACAGTTGGACCTACGTAGCCACAGCTGGACCTACCAGTTGGACCTACGTAACCACAGCTGGACCTACCAGTTGGACCTACGTAACCACAGTTGGAACTACCAGTTGGACCTACGTAACCACAGTTGGACCTACGTAACCACAGCTGGACCTACTACCAGTTGGACCTACGTAACCACAGTTGGACCTACCAGTTGGACTTACGTAACCACAGTTGGACCTACCAGTTGGACTACGTAACCACAGTTGGACTTACGTAACCACAGTTGGACCTACGTAACCACAGCTGGACCTACCAGTTTGACCTACGTAACCACAGTTGGACCTACGTAACCACAGCTGGACCTACCAGTTGGACCTACGTAACCACAGTTGGACCTACCAGTTGGACCTACGTAACCACAGTTGGACCTACCAGTTGGACTTACGTAACCACAGTTGGACCTACGTAACCACAGTTGGACCTACCAGTTGGACCTACGTAACCACAGTTGGACCTACCAGTTGGACTTACGTAACCACAGTTGGACTTACGTAACCACAGTTGGACCTACGTAACCACAGCTGGACCTACCAGTTTGACCTACGTAACCACAGTTGGACCTACGTAACCACAGCTGGACCTACCAGTTGGACCTACGTAACCACAGTTGGACCTACGTAACCACAGTTGGACCTACCAGTTGGACTTACGTAACCACAGTTGGACCTACGTAACCACAGTTGGACCTACCAGTTGGACCTACGTAACCACAGTTGGACCTACCAGTTGGACTTACGTAACCACAGTTGGACTTACGTAACCACAGTTGGACCTACGTAACCACAGCTGGACCTACCAGTTGGACCTACGTAACCACAGTTGGACCTACCAGTTGGACCTACGTAACCACAGCTGGACCTACCAGTTTGACCTACGTAACCACAGTTGGACCTACCAGTTGGACTTACGTAACCACAATTGGACCTACGTAACCACAGTTGGACCTACCAGTTGGACCTACGTAACCACAGTTGGACCTACCAGTTGGACTTACGTAACCACAGTTGGACCTACGTAACCACAGTTATGTTTTGGATCATTGTCCTGTTGGAAGATAAATCTCCGTCCCAGTCTCAGGTCTTTTGCTGACTCCAACAGGTTTTCTTCCAGAATGGTCCTGTATTTGGCTCCATCCATCTTCCCATCAATTTTAGCCATCTTCCCTGTCCCTGCTGAAGAAAAGCAGGCCCAAAGCATGATGCTGCCACCACCATGTTTGACAGTGGGGATGGTGTGTTCAGGGTGATGAGCTGTGTTGCTTTTACGCCAAACATATCCTTTTGCATTGTGGCCAAAAAGTTTGATTTTGGTTTCATCTGACCAGAGCACCTTCTTCCACATGTTTGGTGTGTCTCCCAGGTGGCTTGTGGCAAACTTTAAACCAGACTTTTTATGGATATCTTTGAGAAATGGCTTTCTTCTTGCCACTCTTCCATAAAGGCCAGATTTGTGCAGTGCACGACTGATTGTTGTCCTATGGACAGACTCTCCCACCTCAGCTGTAGTTATCTGCAGTTCATCCAGAGTGATCATGGGCCTCTTGGCTGCATCTCTGATCAGTCTTCTCCTTGTTTGAGATGAAAGTTTGGAGGGACGGCCGGGTCTTGGTAGATTTGCAGTGGTCTGATACTCCTTCCATTTCAATATAATTGCTTGCACAGTGCTCCTTGAGATGTTTAAAGCTTGGGAAATCTTTTTGTATCCAAATCCGGCTTTAAACTTCTCCACAACAGTATCTCGGACCTGCCTGGTGTGTTCCTTTGTCTTCATGGTTCTCTCTGTGCTTTAAACAGAACCCTGAGACTATCAAAGAGCAGGTGCATTTATACAGAGACTTGATTACACACAGGTGCATTCTATTTATCATCATCAGTCATTTAGGACAACATTGGATCATTCAAAGATCCTCACTGAACTTCTGGACTGAGTTTGCTGCACTGAAAGTAAAGGGGCCCAATAATATTGCACGCCCCACTTTTCAGTTTTTTATTTGTTAAAATAGTTTAAATTATCCAATAAATTTAGTTCCACTTCACGATTGTGTCCCACTTGTTGTTGATTCATGACAAAAATTTAAAATGTTATATCTTTATGTTTGAAGCCTGAAATGTGGCGAAATGTTGAAAGGTTCAAGGGGGCCAAATACTTTCGCAAGGTACTGTATATAAGTTAGATACATGTTATTTATATGTTAGATATAAGTTAGATGTATGGTTTTCGTCCCGGTCGTGGAACACTGGACCAGCTCTATACTCTCCATCGGATACTCGAGGGTTCATGGGAGTTCGCCCAACCTGTCCACATGTGCTTTGTGGATTTGGAGAAGGCGTTCGACCGTGTTCCCCGGGGTTCAGAGACCACAGGATTTCATCTCTGCTGTTTGCGGATGATGTTGTCCTGTTGGCTCCAACGAACCAGGACCTGCAGCATGCACTGGGGCGGTTTGCAGCCGAGTGTGAAGCGGCTGGGATGAGAATCAGCACCTCCAAATCCGAGGCCATGGTGCTCGACCGGAAAAAGGTGCCTTGCCCTCTCCAGGTCCTGGTCCTCTCCAGGTCCTGGTCCTCTCCAGGTCCTGGTCCTCTCCAGGTCCTGGTCCTCGCCAGGTCCTGGTCCTCGCCAGGTCCTGGTCCTCTCCAAGTCCTGGTCCACTCCAGGTCCTGGTCCTCTCCAGGTCCTGGTCCTCTCCAGGTCCTGATCCTCGCCAGGTCCTGGTCCTCTCCAGGTCCTGGTCCTCTCCAGGTCCTGATCCTCGCCAGGTCCTGGTCCTCTCCAGGTCCTGATCCTCGCCAGGTCCTGGTCCTCTCCAGGTCCTGGTCCTCTCCAGGTCCTGGTCCTCTCCAGGTCCTGATCCTCGCCAGGTCCTGGTCCTCTCCAGGTCCTGGTCCTCTCCAGGTCCTGATCCTCGCCAGGTCCTGGTCCTCTCCAGGTCCTGGTCCTCTCCAGGTCCTGGTCCTCTCCAGGTCCTGGTCCTCTCCAAGTGGAGAGGTCCTTCCTCAAGTGGAGGAGTTCAAGTATCTCGGGGTCTTGTTCACGAGTGAGGGGAGGATGGAGCGTGAGATTGACAGGCGGATCGGTGCAGCGTCTGCAGTCAGAGCTGTATCGGACCGTTGTGGTAAAGAGGGAGCAGCGTCTGCAGTCAGAGCTGTATCGGACCGTTGTGGTAAAGAGGGAGCAGCGTCTGCAGTCAGAGCTGTATCGGACCGTTGTGGTGAACAGGGAGCAGCGTCTGCAGTCAGAGCTGTATCGGACCGTTGTGGTAAAGAGGGAGCAGCGTCTGCAGTCAGAGCTGTATCGGACCGTTGTGGTAAAGAGGGAGCAGTGTCTGCAGTCAGAGCTGTATCGGACCGTTGTGGTGAACAGGGAGCAGCGTCTGCAGTCAGAGCTGTATCGGACCGTTGTGGTAAAGAGGGAGCAGCGTCTGCAGTCAGAGCTGTATCGGACCGTTGTGGTGAAGAGGGAGCAGCGTCTGCAGTCAGAGCTGTATCGGACTGTTGTGGTAAAGAGGGAGCAGCGTCTGCAGTCAGAGCTGTATCGGACCGTTGTGGTAAAGAGGGAGCAGCGTCTGCAGTCAGAGCTCCCTCACCTCTGGTCATGAGCTTTGGGTAATGACCGGAGTAGGGATTCGCACAGATCGGGTGCGTAGGAGGAGAGGCCAGTACAGCCTAATGTCATAGAGAGAAAAATCCCGAACACCGTCTTACTTAAATTAAAATGTATTTATTTATTTATTTATGGAAATTTTATTGGAGGATAAAGCCCATGAGATGCATCATCTCGTTTACGTGGGGGGTCCTCATGATCTTATCCAAAGAACATAGGATAGCAGAGTAGATACAGTCAAGTAAAAATAAAACAAATACAAAATAATTATAACAACAATAAAAAATAATACAGTAATAATAATAATACAACAAATTAAAGTAAAAATGATAACACTACAAATACTTAACACACACACACTCACACACACCCCTCATGCCACACACACACACACATACTCACACACACCACTCATGCCACACACTCACACACACCACTCATGCCACACACACACACACACCACTCATGCCACACACACACACACACCCCTCATGCCACACACACACACACACCACTCATGCCACACACACACACACACACACCCCTCATGCCACACACACACACACACCACTCATGCCACACACACACACACACACACACCCCTCATGCCACACACACACACACACCACTCATGCCACACACACACCCCTCATGCCACACACTCACACACACTCACACACACTCACACACACACACACACACACTCCTCTTTACTACTGTATCTCACAGACAGACATAAGATACAGTAGTTATTATTTAACAACGTTTCGCCGTTATGCCTTCATCAAGCAAACTCTGGGTAATGACCGAAAGAACGAGATCGCGGATACAAGCGTCGAAATGAGCTTCCTCCGCAGAGTGGCTGCTCCCTTAGAGATAGGGTGAGGAGCTCAGTCACACGGGAGGAGCTCGGAGTAGAGCCGCTGCTCCCTTAGAGATAGGGTGAGGAGCTCAGTCACACGGGAGGAGCTCGGAGTAGAGCCGCTGCTCCCTTAGAGATAGGGTGAGGAGCTCAGTCACACGGGAGGAGCTCGGAGTAGAGCCGCTGCTCCCTTAGAGATAGAGTGAGGAGCTCAGTCACACGGGAGGAGCTCGGAGTAGAGCCGCTGCTCCCTTAGAGATAGGGTGAGGAGCTCAGTCACACGGGAGGAGCTCGGAGTAGAGCCGCTGCTCCCTTAGAGATAGGGTGAGGAGCTCAGTCACACGGGAGGAGCTCGGAGTAGAGCCGCTGCTCCCTTAGAGATAGGGTGAGGAGCTCAGTCACACGGGAGGAGCTCGGAGTAGAGCCGCTGCTCCCTTAGAGATAGGGTGAGGAGCTCAGTCACACGGGAGGAGCTCGGAGTAGAGCCGCTGCTCCCTTAGAGATAGGGTGAGGAGCTCAGTCACACGGGAGGAGCTCGGAGTAGAGCCGCTGCTCCCTTAGAGATAGGGTGAGGAGCTCGGTCACACGGGAGGAGCTCGGAGTAGAGCCGCTGCTCCCTTAGAGATAGGGTGAGGAGCTCGGTCACACGGGAGGAGCTCGGAGTAGAGCCGCTGCTCCCTTAGAGATAGGGTGAGGAGCTTGGTCACACGGGAGGAGCTCGGAGTAGAGCCGCTGCTCCCTTAGAGATAGGGTGAGGAGCTTGGTCACACGGGAGGAGCTCGGAGTAGAGCCGCTGCTTCTCCACGTCGAGAGGAACCAGTTGAGGTGGCTCGGGCATCTGTTCCGGATGCCTCCTGGACGCCTCCCTGGGGAGGTGTTCCGGGCACGTCCCACCGGGAGGAGGCCCCGGGGAAGACCCAGGACACACTGGAGGGACTATGTCTCTCAGCTGGCCTGGGAACGCCTTGGGGTCCCCCCGGACGAGCTGGAGGAAGTGTGTGTGGATAGGGAAGTCTGGGCGTCTCTGCTTAGACTGCTGCCCCCGCGACCCGGCAACGGATAAAGCGGAAGAAAATGGAATGGAATGGAAGTTCGATATATGTTAGATATAAGTTAGATATGAGTTATATATGTTAGATATATGTTATATACATGTTAGATATATGTTATGTATGTTATATGTGTTAGCTATAATTTATATATATGTTAGATATAAATTAGGTATAAGTTAGATATAAGTTAGATATGCCACAGAACTCTAGTCCACAGTCTATACCAGGCTCTGAGCCCAAACTGCTTTTCCTTCGGTTCCTTCGAAGCACAAAGCAGTCTGCTCCAAAGTGTGAAAGTAATCACACATGGACCAATCACAGCGGAGCTTCTCTCACACATGGACCAATCACAGCGGAGCTTCTCTCACACACGGACCAATCACAGCGGAGCTTCTCTCACACACGGACCAATCACAGCGGAGCTTCTCTCACACATGGACCAATCACAACGGAGCTTCTCTCACACATGGACCAATCACAGCGGAGCTTCTCTCACACACGGACCAATCACAGCGGAGCTTCTCTCACACACGGACCAATCACAGCGGAGCTTCTCTCACACACGGACCAATCACAGCGGAGCTTCTCTCACACATGGACCAATCACAGTGGAGCTTCTCTCACACACGGACCAATCACAGCGGAGCTTCCTTACGGCGCCGGCTGTGTAGTTAGAAATGTTTGAAGGTGCGCGGCAGGCTACGCAGGGGTCTGCGGTGATCCAAGTGACGTCACGTCACCACCGTAAGCTCCGCGCGACTATACACTAGGCTTCAAGGTCCACAGAAATGACATCATCAGTGTGTTCCTATGACATCATCAGTGTGTTCCTATGACATCATGTGTGTTCCAGGACGTGTTCCACTGGCAGATCATGGACGGGAACCTGACACAGAACATGCTCAAGTACATGTCACTGATAGGTGAGACAGACAGAAACACACACACAGACAGACAGAAACACACACACAGACAGACAGAAACACACACACACATAGACAGGCAGACACCTACCTACCTACAAGGGCAGGTGTGACTGCACATCTGACCTATAGTGTGTGTGTGTGTGTGTGTGTGTGTGTGTGTGTGTGTGTGTGTGTGTGTGTGTGTGTGTGTGTGTGTGTGTGTGTGTGTGTGTGTGTGTGTGTGTGTGTGTGTGTGTGTGTGTGTGTGTGTGTGTGTGTGTGTGTGTGTGTGTGTGTGTGTGTGTGTGTGTGTGTGTGTGTGTGTGTAGACCATGTGCAGGTGGCTCAGGTCCCAGATCGTCATGAACCTGACAGTTGTGGAGAGATTAACTTCCTTCATGTTTGGGACGTCCTGGAACAGAACTACAGCGGATACATAGGACTGGAATACAGGCCCCGAGGTGAGAGACACACACACACACAGACAGAGACACACACACACAGAGACACACACAGAGACAGACAGACACACACACATACACACACAGACACACACACAGAGACAGAAAGACAAACACACACACACACACACAGACACACACAGAGACACACACACACACAGACAGAGACACACACAGAGACAGACAGACACACACACATACACACACAGACAGAGACAGAAAGACAAACACACACACACAGACAGACACTCACACACACACATGTATACATATACAGAGAGACACACAGACACACTCTCTGACCTATGTCTCTGTAGGCTCCACTGAGGAGGGGCTGGGTTGGATCAGGAACTATTGGAGCAGAACTGACTCTGGAGGAACTGACTCTGGAGGAACTGACTCTGGAGGAACTGACTCTGGAGGAACTGACTCTGGAGGAACTGACTCTGGAGGAACTGACTCTGGAGGAACTGACTCTGGAGGAACTGACTCTGGAGGAACTGACTCTGGAGGAACTGACTCTGGAGGAAACTGACTCTGGAGGAACTGACTCTGGAGGAACTGACTCTGGAGGAACTGACTCTGGAGGAACTGACTCTGGAGGAACTGACTCTGGAGGAACACGAAGCTTCAAAGTCAAATAAAGACATTTGTTTGTTTATTTTCTGACACATTAAATCCTCGAGGCTCAGACGATGAAAACAAGTTTATTCATCAGTAAATGTGACATATACAAATAAACAGGACCACCTCCTGCTGCTGCTGAGGAGCAGGAGGCGCACAGTGATTCTAACCCAGGACTGAGGCTGTAATAATAATAATAATAATTAATAATGTATCAGTTTTATGCAGTTCTTTTCTGGACACTCAAAGATGCTTCACATGTCATTATCCTCTCTCTCCAAACACGGTGGTGATAAACTACTGTAGCCACAGCTGCCCTGGGGCACACTGACAGAAGCCCCTCCCACCACCATCAACCATTCACACACACACACCAGACTCATTCTAATGTGGGGGAAGTGTCTTGCCTAAGGACACAACCACAGTTTGGCACTTTACAGCCGCAGCCGCCCCACTGTGGCTTAAATATGAATATAGTTTATAGTGGGGTAAGGAGAGGTGGAGGACCAGGACCGCTCCTGAGCAAAAGAAGAGAACAAATGACAAACATTGTAAGATAGTGAAAACAATTGAAGGGCAGAGAGAGACAATATTAGAACAGTTGGAATTACAGAAAAAGATTTGAAAAAATGAATGGAATGGAGGATGGATATGAACATGGGTTATTTTATTATGATTATTATCATTATCATCACCACTATTCATAATAATAACAATAACAACAGCATTATTATCATTATCAGTTTTTATATCGTTTTTCCACAACATTTTAATTTCATTTTCCTCTTGGGGGATCAGCTTTGTTTATAATCAATGATCACAAGGATGAGGAAATGGTTACCACTGACCTGTCCGCCGATTTATGAGCCCGCGACTGAAATAGAGACACAGAGAACGGGAGCCCACTTTATCAAGTTTAATGAATGGAACAAGACTCTGGTGTGAAGCGGTTAGAGTTCCTGTAGACCGCGGACTCCGGACACTACTGGACACGGCAACAGAGGACACTACTGAGACACGGCACAGAGGAAACTACCTGAACACGGCAACAGAGGACACTACTGAGACACAAGGCGCACCTACTGAGACACAAGGACACTACTGAGACACGGCACAGAGGACACTACTAGACACCACAAGGACACTACTGAGACACGGCACAGAGACACTAACTGAGACACGGCCACAGAGGACACTAACTGAGACACGGCACAGAGGACGGGGACGTACGTTTTTGAAAAAAAAAGACAACGGCAACAGAGGACACTACTGAGACAACGACATGGGGACATACTGAAGACACGGCACAGGGGACCACTACCGAGACACGGCACAGAGGAACACTACTGAGAGCACGGCACAGGACCTACGGAGACCACGGCACAGGGGACAGGCTACTGAGACACGGCAGGCAAGGAACACTACAGAGAACACGGCACAGAAGGACACTAATGGAGACACGCACAAAGGACACTACGGGTGAGACACGGGCACAGAGGACAGAGGTGGAGGGGGGGCTGGGGAGGGGGGAGAAGCGCTATAGAGGGAGAGATAACGGTATATGGGGAGGAATGACACGGGGGCCAACGTGTGTAGGGGTGGGGAATCTACGGAATAGGGGGGGAGGGCAAAGAGAGGGGGGGGATACAATAAGTGGGTATGAATCGGACTGGGGGGGGATGGGGGGGGGGGGGGGGTAAAGATTATATGGTTTTGTATTGGGTTCTGAGTCAGTGCGATTGATATGAGGGGATGAATGGGTAGGTGGGTCTGTAGGTGTATGAGGAGAGTGTATGGATTAGGTTTATAAGGGAGTACATCTATATAGGTGTATGGGAGGATTATGTGGGTAGTTGTAGGGGTGTTGTTAGTAGTTGTCTCATAAAGTAGGGGTGAGTTGGGGGTTTTTGTTTTGGTGGGGGGGGGGGGGGGGGGGGGGTTGTAGTGTTGGTGAGGGTGGGTGTTGTTGTTGGGGGGTGTTGTGAGTGGTGTTTGGGGGGGGGGGGGTGGGTGGGGGGGGGGGGGGGGGGGGGGGGGGGGGGGGGGGGGGGGGGGGGGGGGGGGGGGGGGGGGGGGATATGGTGGGTTGTAGGGGTGGGGGGGGGGTAAAATTATGTGTGTTGGATGGGGGTGTAGTTGTTTTTTGGGTGTGGGTTGTTGTTGTGTGTGGTGGGGGGGGGGGTGTGTTGTGGGGGTGTGGTGGGTGTGTGTGGTGTGGTGGGTGTGGGTGTGGGTGTGGGTGGGTGTTGTGGGGGGGTGTGGTGGTGTTGGGTTGTGGGGGGTTGTGGGTGTGGTGGGGGGGGGGGGTGGGGGGGGGGGAGGGGGGGGGGGGGTGGGGGGGGGGGTGGGGGGGTTGGGTGGGGGGTGGGGGGGGGGGGGGTGTTTTGTGGGTTGTGGTGGGTGTTTTTGGGTTGGTGGTTTTAGATTGTATGTGTAGTAGTGTAGGTGTTTAATTTATAGGTAGGTGTAATAGGAAATATGTGGTATAGTAGGGTTTATAGGATATGTGTATAGTGAAGGGTGTAATAAGGATATGTGGTAATAGTAGGGGTGTATAGGAATATGTTGTATAGGTAGGTGTAACATGATCGAGAAGGACGACTACGGAGAGCACGGCAAGCAGAGGTACAACTACTGAGAACACGGCACAGGGGACACCTACTGAACACGGCACAGGGAACACTACTGGAGACCACTGCACAGGGGCACGACTGAACACGGCACAGGGGACACTAACTGAAGACACGGCAACAGTGGGACACTAGCTGGAGCGCACGGCAACGACTACTGAGACACGGCCAACAGAGGACACTACTGAGACACGGCAACCACTATTTGAGACACGGCACAGAGACACTACTGAAGAAAAACACGGCAACACCTACTGAACACGGCACATAGGACACCACTGAGACACGGCACAGAGGAAAACACCCAGGCGGATGAGACAACGCACAAGGACACCGACTGGGACACGGCAGGCAGAAGACAAGTACTGAGACACGGCAGCAGAGGACAACTACTGAGACACGTCAAAGAGGGACACTACGCAGACACGGGAACAGCTCACTGGAGACACGCAGCAGAGGACAGCTACTGAAGACAGCGCCACAAGGGGACACTACTGAGACACGGCCCAGGGGACACTACTGAGACACGCGACAGGGGACACTAAACTGGGAGACACGGCCACAGATGGACACTACCTGAGACCACGCGACGAGGACACTACTGGGAGCAGCGGCACAGAGGAACAGCCGTACTGAGAACCAAACGGCACAGAGGACGACCTAACTGGAGACACGCAGCAGTAGGACACTACTGAGAACACGCACAGAGGAACACGTACTGAGACACGGCACAGAGTGACACTACTGAGGACGACGTGGCACAGGAGGGGAACACTACTGAGACACGCACAGGGGACCACTACTAGACACGCACAGGGACACTACGGGTGGAGGACACGGCACAGGGGACACTACTGAGACACGGCAGCATGGGACACTACTGAGACACGGCACAGGGACACTACTGATACACGGCACAGGGGAACACTACTGAAGACACGGCACAGGGGAGCACAACTGAGAACACGGCACAGGAGGACACTACTGAGACCGGCACAGGGGACAGCTACTGAGGGACACTGCACAGGGGGAGCACTACTGAGACACGCTTCAGAGGACACTACTGAGAGCACGCACAGGGGACACTACTGAGAGCACTGGGCACAGGTGACACTACTGAGACGCACGGCCTCAGAGGACACTACTGGGAGACGACGGCAAACACTACGAGACACGGCACTAGGGACACTACGGGAACACTGGCACACTGAGACACGGCACAGAGGACACGTACTGAGACACGTGCAACACTACTGAGACACGGCACAGAGGACACTAACTGTGAAACACGGCACAGAGGACACTACACTGAACACGCACAGAGGACACTACTGAACACGGCACAGAGGACACTACTGAACACGCACAGAGGACACTACTGAGACACGGCACGAGAGGACACTACTGAGACGACGGCACAGGGGACACAGCTGAGGACACGGCACAGGGGACACTACTGAGACACGGCACAGGGGACACTACTGAGACACGGCACAGGGGGGACACTACCGAAGACACGGCACAGAGACACTCCGAGACACGGCAGCAGAGGACGACTACCGAGACACGGCACAGAGGAAACTACCGAACACGGCACAGAGACAAAACCGAGACACGGCACAGGGACACTACCGAGACACGGCACAAGGGGACACTCAACCGAGACACGGCACAGGGACACTACTGAGACCACGGCACAGGGGATCACTACTGAGACACGCACAGAGACACTACAGAACACGGCCACAGGGGACACTACTGAAGACACCCCCCGGCAACCAAGGGAACACTACTGGAGACACGGCACAGGGACACTAACTGAGAACACGGCACAGGGGACACTTACAGGTGAGACACGGCAACAGGACACTACTGGAGACACGGCACAGGGGACACTACCTTGACCCGGCACCACTACTGAGAACCTCGGCACAGAGGACACTACTGAACCGGCAACACTAAACTGAGACACACACAGGGGACGACCCTACATGAGACACGGCAACAGGGGCACTACTGGAGACCACGGACAAGGGACACCACTGAGACACGGCACATAGGACACCACTGAGACACGGCACAGAGGACACCACTGAGACACGCACAGATGACACGGCACTGAGACCACGCACAGAGGACACACTGAGATCCATGGCACAGAGGACACCACTGAAGCACGGCACAGAGGACACCACTGGGGGAGACACGGCACAGAGGACACCACTGAGACACGGCACAGAGGACACCACTGGAGACACGGCACCAGAGGACTCCACTGAGACACGGCACAAGGACACGGCACTGCAGACACGGCACAGAGGACACGCGACTGAAAACACGCGACAGAGGACACGCACTGAGACATCATCAGAGGGACACCAGCTAGACACGGCACAGAGGACAACCATGAGACACGGCACACCAGAGGGACACCACTGAAGACACGGCCACAGAAGGAACACCACTGGAGAACGCAACAGGGGGACACCACTGGCGGACACGCACAGGGACACCGGGGAGACCTGAGAGCACGGCACAGGGGACACCACTGAGAAACACGGCACAGGGGAAAAGCCACCACTGGAGAACACGGCACAGGGACCACCACTGCGACACGGCACAGGGGGACACCACTGCGACACGGCACAGAGGACACCACTAGAGGGCAGGCACAGAGGACACCACTGAGACCGGCAACAGGGGACACCACTGAGACACGGCCACAGGGGACACGAACTGAGACACGGCACAGGTGAACACCACTAGACACGGCACAGAGGACACCACTGAGACCCGCGGCACAAGGACACCACTGAGACACGGCACAGAGGACCACCACTGAGACACGCACAGAGGAACCACTGGAGACACGGCACAGAAGGACCCACCAGCTTGAGAGACACGGGGGCAAAACAGGACACCACTATGAGCACGGACAGGACCACCACCCTGAGACACGCAGCGAGGACACCGGGACTGTGAGACACGGCACAGGGGAACACCACTGAGAACACGGCAACAGGGGACACCCACTGTGACACGCACAGAGGACACCACTGAGACACGGCAAGGGGACACCGACTGAGACCACGCACAGGGGACACCACGAGACACGGCCACAGGGGACACTACTGAGACACGGCCAACACTACTGAGACACGGCAACAGGGACACTACTGAGACACGGCACAGGGGGGACACTACTGAGGCACAGGGGACCACAACTGGGAGACCACCGGCAACAGAAGGAGGGGCACTTACTGAGACACGGCACAGAAGGACAGACTAAACTTGAGACACGGCCAACAGGGGAACACTACTGGAGACAGTCGACAGAGGGGCGCGACTAACTGTGAGACACGGCACAGCGGGACCACCTACTGAGACACACGGCAACACTACTGAGAACACGGCACCAGGGGACACTACTGAGACACGGCACAGTGGACACTACTGAGACACGGCCCAAAAACAGAGGACACTAACTGGAGGACAACGGCAAAACACTACTGAACACGGCACAGGAGGCACTACTGAGACAACGGACACAGAGGACACTACTGAGAACAACGGCGAACACGTACCTGGGAGACCGGCCAGCAGAATGACCACTGACTGAGACAGGGCACAGAGGGACACTAACGTGAGACACGTGCCACAGGGGACCACTACGAGACACGCCACAGGGACACTACGTGAGAACACGGCACAGGGGAACAGCACTGGAGGGGGACACGGCACACAGGGGACACCACGAGGACACGGCACAGGGGACACCCACTGAGACACGGCACAGGGGACACCACTGAGCAACGGCAAACCAGGGGAATACCACCAGGTGAGACACGGCACAGGGGACCACCACTGAAGACACGGGCGACAGGGGGACACCTACTGAGACACGGGCACGGGGAACATCAACTGGAGACACGGCAACAAGGGGACACTACTGAAGCACACGCACAGGGACACATGAGGACACGCACAGGGGACACCACTGAAAACCCACGGCAACAGGGGAACACCACTGGAGAACACGGCACAGGGGACACCACTGAGACACCACAGGGGACCACTACTGGAGACACGGCAACAGCTAACTTGTCTGACTGTACAAATGTGTCTGACTGTCCTAATGTGTCTGACTGTACTAATGTGTCTGACTGTACTAATGTGTCTGACTGTCCTAATGTGTCTGACTGTACTAATGTGTCTGACTGTACTAATGTGTCTGACTGTCCTAATGTGTCTGACTGTCCTAATGTGTCTGACTGTCCTAATGTGTGTGACTGTACAAATGTGTCTGACTGTACCAATGTGTCTGACTGTACCAATGTGTCTGACTGTCCTAATGTGTCTGACTGTCCTAATGTGTGTGACTGTACAAATGTGTGTGACTGTCCTAATGTGTCTGACTGTACAAATGTGTCTGACTGTCCTAATGTGTCTGACTGTCCTAATGTGTTTGACTGTCCTAATGTGTCTGACTGTCCTAATGTGTCTGACTGTACAAATGTGTCTGACTGTCCTAATGTGTCTGACTGTACAAATGTGTATGACTGTACAAATGTGTCTGACTGTACAAATGTGTCTGACTGTACAAATGTGTCTGACAGTACTAATGTGTCTGACTGTCCTAATGTGTCTGACTGTACTAATGTGTCTGACTGTACAAATGTGTCTGACTGTACACATGTGTGTGACTGTCCTAATGTGTTTGACTGTACAAATGTGTCTGACTGTACAAATGTGTCTGACAGTACAAATGTGTCTGACAGTACTAATGTGTCTGACTGTCCTAATGTGTCTGACTGTACTAATGTGTCTGACTGTACAAATGTGTGTGACTGTACACATGTGTGTGACTGTCCTAATGTGTTTGACTGTACAAATGTGTCTGACTGTCCTAATGTGTCTGACTGTACAAATGTGTCTGACTGTACCAATGTGTCTGACTGTACTAATGTGTCTGACTGTACAAATGTGTCTGACTGTCCTAATGTGTCTGACTGTATAAATGTGTCTGACTGTACAAATGTGTCTGACTGTCCTAATGTGTCTGACTGTACTAATGTGTCTGACTGTACAAATGTGTCTGACTGTCCTAATGTGTCTGACTGTCCTAATGTGTCTGACTGTACTAATGTGTCTGACTGTCCTAATGTGTCTGACTGTACTAATGTGTCTGACTGTCCTAATGTGTCTGACTGTACTAATGTGTGTGACTGTCCTAATGTGTCTGACTGTCCTAATGTGTCTGACTGTATAAATGTGTCTGACTGTACAAATGTGTCTGACTGTCCTAATGTGTCTGACTGTATAAATGTGTCTGACTGTACAAATGTGTCTGACAGTACTAATGTGTCTGACTGTCCTAATGTGTCTGACTGTCCTAATGTGTCTGACTGTCCTAATGTGTGTGACTGTCCTAATGTGTCTGACTGTACAAATGTGTGTGACTGTCCTAATGTGTCTGACTGTCCTAATGTGTCTGACTGTACTAATGTGTCTGACTGTCCTAATGTGTCTGACTGTCCTAATGTGTCTGACTGTCCTAATGTGTCTGACTGTACTAATGTGTCTGACTGTCCTAATGTGTCTGACTGTATAAATGTGTCTGACTGTCCTAATGTGTCTGACTGTACAAATGTGTCTGACTGTACTAATGTGTCTGACTGTCCTAATGTGTCTGACTGTACAAATGTGTCTGACTGTCCTAATGTGTCTGACTGTATAAATGTGTCTGACTGTCCTAATGTGTCTGACTGTACTAATGTGTCTGACTGTACAAATGTGTCTGACTGTATAAATGTGTCTGACTGTCCTAATGTGTCTGACTGTACTAATGTGTCTGACTGTCCTAATGTGTCTGACTGTATAAATGTGTCTGACTGTCCTAATGTGTCTGACTGTACTAATGTGTCTGACTGTACAAATGTGTCTGACTGTATAAATGTGTCTGACTGTCCTAATGTGTCTGACTGTACTAATGTGTCTGACTGTCCTAATGTGTCTGACTGTATAAATGTGTCTGACTGTCCTAATGTGTCTGACTGTACAAATGTGTCTGACTGTCCTAATGTGTCTGACTGTCCTAATGTGTCTGACTGTCCTAATGTGTCTGACTGTCCTAATGTGTGTGACTGTCCTAATGTGTCTGACTGTACAAATGTGTGTGACTGTCCTAATGTGTCTGACTGTCCTAATGTGTCTGACTGTCCTAATGTGTCTGACTGTCCTAATGTGTCTGACTGTACTAATGTGTCTGACTGTCCTAATGTGTCTGACTGTATAAATGTGTCTGACTGTCCTAATGTGTCTGACTGTACAAATGTGTCTGACTGTCCTAATGTGTCTGACTGTATAAATGTGTCTGACTGTCCTAATGTGTCTGACTGTACTAATGTGTCTGACTGTACAAATGTGTCTGACTGTCCTAATGTGTCTGACTGTACTAATGTGTCTGACTGTCCTAATGTGTCTGACTGTCCTAATGTGTCTGACTGTATAAATGTGTCTGACTGTCCTAATTTTTCTGACTGTACTAATGTGTCTGACTGTACAAATGTGTCTGACTGTCCTAATGTGTCTGACTGTACTAATGTGTCTGACTGTCCTAATGTGTCTGACTGTACAAATGTGTCTGACTGTATAAATGTGTCTGACTGTCCTAATGTGTCTGACTGTCCTAATGTGTCTGACTGTACCAATGTGTCTGACTGTACTAATGTGTCTGACTGTACAAATGTGTCTGACTGTCCTAATGTGTCTGACTGTATAAATGTGTCTGACTGTACAAATGTGTCTGACTGTCCTAATGTGTCTGACTGTACTAATGTGTCTGACTGTACAAATGTGTCTGACTGTCCTAATGTGTCTGACTGTCCTAATGTGTCTGACTGTACTAATGTGTCTGACTGTCCTAATGTGTCTGACTGTACTAATGTGTCTGACTGTCCTAATGTGTCTGACTGTACTAATGTGTGTGACTGTCCTAATGTGTCTGACTGTCCTAATGTGTCTGACTGTATAAATGTGTCTGACTGTACAAATGTGTCTGACTGTCCTAATGTGTCTGACTGTATAAATGTGTCTGACTGTACAAATGTGTCTGACAGTACTAATGTGTCTGACTGTCCTAATGTGTCTGACTGTCCTAATGTGTCTGACTGTCCTAATGTGTGTGACTGTCCTAATGTGTCTGACTGTACAAATGTGTGTGACTGTCCTAATGTGTCTGACTGTCCTAATGTGTCTGACTGTACTAATGTGTCTGACTGTCCTAATGTGTCTGACTGTCCTAATGTGTCTGACTGTCCTAATGTGTCTGACTGTACTAATGTGTCTGACTGTCCTAATGTGTCTGACTGTATAAATGTGTCTGACTGTCCTAATGTGTCTGACTGTACAAATGTGTCTGACTGTACTAATGTGTCTGACTGTCCTAATGTGTCTGACTGTACAAATGTGTCTGACTGTCCTAATGTGTCTGACTGTATAAATGTGTCTGACTGTCCTAATGTGTCTGACTGTACTAATGTGTCTGACTGTACAAATGTGTCTGACTGTATAAATGTGTCTGACTGTCCTAATGTGTCTGACTGTACTAATGTGTCTGACTGTCCTAATGTGTCTGACTGTATAAATGTGTCTGACTGTCCTAATGTGTCTGACTGTACTAATGTGTCTGACTGTACAAATGTGTCTGACTGTATAAATGTGTCTGACTGTCCTAATGTGTCTGACTGTACTAATGTGTCTGACTGTCCTAATGTGTCTGACTGTATAAATGTGTCTGACTGTCCTAATGTGTCTGACTGTACAAATGTGTCTGACTGTCCTAATGTGTCTGACTGTCCTAATGTGTCTGACTGTCCTAATGTGTCTGACTGTCCTAATGTGTGTGACTGTCCTAATGTGTCTGACTGTACAAATGTGTGTGACTGTCCTAATGTGTCTGACTGTCCTAATGTGTCTGACTGTCCTAATGTGTCTGACTGTACTAATGTGTCTGACTGTCCTAATGTGTCTGACTGTATAAATGTGTCTGACTGTCCTAATGTGTCTGACTGTACAAATGTGTCTGACTGTCCTAATGTGTCTGACTGTATAAATGTGTCTGACTGTCCTAATGTGTCTGACTGTACTAATGTGTCTGACTGTACAAATGTGTCTGACTGTCCTAATGTGTCTGACTGTACTAATGTGTCTGACTGTCCTAATGTGTCTGACTGTCCTAATGTGTCTGACTGTATAAATGTGTCTGACTGTCCTAATTTTTCTGACTGTACTAATGTGTCTGACTGTACAAATGTGTCTGACTGTCCTAATGTGTCTGACTGTACTAATGTGTCTGACTGTCCTAATGTGTCTGACTGTACAAATGTGTCTGACTGTATAAATGTGTCTGACTGTCCTAATGTGTCTGACTGTACTAATGTGTCTGACTGTACAAATGTGTCTGACTGTATAAATGTGTCTGACTGTCCTAATGTGTCTGACTGTATAAATGTGTCTGACTGTATAAATGTGTCTGACTGTATAAATGTGTCTGACTGTATAAATGTGTCTGACTGTACTAATGTGTCTGACTGTACTAATGTGTCTGACTGTCCTAATGTGTCTGACTGTACTAATGTGTCTGACTGTACAAATGTGTCTGACTGTATAAATGTGTCTGACTGTCCTAATGTGTCTGACTGTCCTAATGTGTCTGACTGTATAAATGTGTCTGACTGTACTAATGTGTCTGACTGTACTAATGTGTCTGACTGTACTAATGTGTCTGACTGTCCTAATGTGTCTGACTGTCCTAATGTGTCTGACTGTACTAATGTGTCTGACTGTCCTAATGTGTCTGACTGTACTAATGTGTCTATAATATCCTAATATTGTGTAGTCCTCTCCCACTCTCCCTGACTCAGGTTGCCAGATACTCACCAAATCCAGCAGCAAACACAGGGAATTATTTTAT